CTTTTGGCTTTGATTCGAAGAACTCACAAATGTCAGTTTTAACCTCTTCCTGTGTTACAAAAGCTGTTTCTTCCAAATGATTCTGTAAGCTACATGAAACAAATGGTAGTCTGAAGGAGCAAGATCGGGAGAATAAGGTGGATGAGGAATTTTCTCCCAACCAAGTTCTTCGATCTTTTGTGACGTGATTCTTGCTGTGTTGGGTCGCGCATTGTCCTGATGAAACATCACCTCTTTTCGATTCACTAGAGCAGGTCTTTTTTTCCTCAAAGCTTGGTTCAAACGCTCTAATTGCTGACAGTATATTTGAGCATTAATTGTTGCATTAGGTGGTAAGAATTAAAGTGGATTATTCTTGGCGATCCACCAGATTGAAAGAAGAACCTTTTGCCCATGAAGTTCCCTTCTCAGCTGTGGCTGGGGTCCTTCCCTTTACCAAGCCACTGTCTACGACGCTTAACATTTTGATAAAAGATCCATTTTTCGTCGCAAAGTCACAAGTCTATCAAAAAAGGTGAAACAAGTTGGCAAGAATGGAAGGATATTAGATAAAAAATCGGGCTTTTGCTCAGTTACAATGTCAAAAAATGATTTGATGTTTTCTTTTGAATTTCTTGAGAATGAGAACCAAAATGCTATTTTAATTTGATTTTGAGAGCTGATGTCCAATATATATGATAAAGAAAGTTTGAATCAGAATTTGAAATGGTGTTAATGTTTGATAAACAACAAAATCAAGTCAGATATTTTTATCTGACAAACTAGATGAACCATTTATGAGTGAAATATGGATATATTTTGATGGTTATTGCCAAACTGCAACAGCAAAGTGAAATTTGATTCTTTTTCCCATAAATTTTTCAGGATGAATACTTTTTGAACATGGCTTTGCAATATAAGAATTTAGATAGGCAATGATAGATTTCATCAGTGAAAGTTACTCTTGAAATGAATTTATGATTTTTGTTGAGAAAAGTAGTGATTCCCATGACCATAATGGATCTGTTTTGAAAAAAACATGAAATGCTTGAATTTTGTAACAATTAATTCATGAAAAAGCTTATATCCTCCAAAGATTTTATCCAAAGTTGAGTATTAGTGATATTGCAAATAGGGGTTCGAATTTCAAAAGTAAAAGAAATGAAGTTTGAAGGTCGGCTGTAGACCCTCCGAATATATATAAGCAATTCCAGAAATTTATACTTCTAGAGCTGATTTTATTTGAGTAAACTTGCAGATAAAAGGTTATTTACAAAACTTTTTTTCCCTAAATTCAGGTGCATTAAGAAAAAAATCTCCATTGTTGTAAATGGTTTCATCAAGGACCTTTATGATAAATTGTTGTCTTGAAATTTAACAGGGGCTCATTTTTATGAACGCATTACTTTAATTTCTTCCATGTATAAAAATTTTCTTGAAAAATTTCTTTTTAGAATTGGCAGATGAAAATTATACTTAATATATATATATTTTATAGATATAAATTTTCAATCTGAGATTCAATGCTCAATTCTGCATAAGCAAGTTTAAATTTTAGATATTTAAAATTTAAAAATTTCCCTTTAATTGAAAAGAAATAATCATTTTCATGTTTTTTATAATACGTTTTGAAAGCGTTGCCCATGTGACGACAACGTGACCATGCTAAACGGAAAGCTGATCATTTTAAAATTTTCAGTTATCTGTTTTGGATAAGACTTGTTTTTTATGTCCATCGTCTTTGTCAAATTGAACTGAATTGTATTTTAATGAATATTGTCTTGAAAAGGTTTATTAAACCGAAACGTCAGACGTCGACATTTCATTCATTTTAAACAACATAATTGCATTTAATTTTTTTTTTTTCAAATTTTTCTTCATATATATATATATATATATATATATATATATGGGGAAAATAAAATCACAAGAATGTGTTTTAGATGACATGTATAGGTAATATAACTGAATTACAATCAATGATTTTATAAACTCCTCACTATGTGCACAGGTTCCAAAACAATGGCTGTATCAATAGTGCTCACTATATATTCATGGGTATTCATACAAGCCTGTGCTCTCACATACATCCAGTTATACAGATGGCAATTCTTAATTTCAGGCTTGTTGATTCAATACAGCAAGTGAGTTGTAGGTGGACTAATCAAATGAGATAAGTGTTGTCCCATCATATTTCATATGTTGAGTAGGAGATTGGTCTGGTGCTTGTGCCAGTCAGGGAAACTGTTAAAAACTTTGAAGAGTATGCTTACATAGCATGGGTATCATGATGGAATTTGTTGCAAGAATGGAAGCAGAATGATGACCCTGTTCCACAAACACCAAACATGAGTGAGAGCTCTACCCAACACCATGATACCAAAGAGGTTGGGTTTGTGTATTATGGTCAAATATACTGTTGAATATGTCAATCCCCATATCCTTTATCACTGGATACCACCATCTTGATAGCTAGCTGACTTCAAGACTGTATATGTGAACATTGTTGTATTGCAGGCTCAGGTCTGTGTGTTTAACATTGGAACATTGGTAAGGTTTTAATGATGGCATCCAGGCTGAGCATGAGTTCCACTGGAATTTGACATAAACATTATGTATTACGTATGTTGGAAAAAGAATTATTAATCAAAAGAGCAGTGGACAATTGTTGTACATCTATCATTAACTGAAAAAGCTAGACTAGCAACATTTCTATGGTGAAAAAAGTGACAGTCAACATTTTGAGGTATAGAATTATCTCTAGTATGACTGTACAGTCCCAAAATAATTTTTTTACATGACAATAAAATCAAAAATTCTCCTAAAAGAATTTTGGCAAAATTTAACATATGTACCCTCAAATAAACAGTGTCAAAGGAACATGGGATTTTTTTTATTTTTGACATCACTATTACTGTATAGGTCCTCTGCAATTTTTGGATTGATGTATTCTTTTTTTCTCAAAAATTGAGCACAAAAGAATTAAATACTATTTTATTAGATTATTTGCAAGAATAATTTTATATTTACATTATAAAAAATGTGAACCAACTACAATGTAATATTTATTATTTACAACTATTTATTTTTATAACTATGAAAACAATTTTTTTTTTTTTTTTTTTCAGTAAATCTATAAAAAATATCTGAAGAATTTTTTTGAGGGCGGGGGGGGGGGGGGTATTTTCTGGACATCTTTTATTTTTGCCTTTGCAACAAAAATTCACTGAAATAAGTTGCGAGCATCTGGATTTATAATTTTCTTTCCTTTTCAGAATTGACAACAAAAATATTAAAAACTAAAACTGTATATTTACAAGAATGGGGTTTAATAGTTGACACTTCAAAAAAAAAAAAAAATCCAGATTAATGTTTGGGTTTTATTAAAATTCTAAAAATAGCTTTTTAAAGACAATGGAGTCTACAGTACAAGTGGTTGCAGGAGAAAGACCATCCTTTTGACACCTGGTTCTTTGCTGGTGTGTATGTTAAACTTTGCTAACATTTTCGTGTACAGGGAAAAATTAAATTATATTCTGCAAAGTGAATGAGATTTACTTTTTAAATAAACAAGAAAATGGAAGAAATATTTTTATTTGGTCTTAGGTTATGTTAAAGCAGGATTCTTAAAATAACTTTAATATTCAGTCATTAAGATAACACATTTTGAATGTAGTTAAATTGTTGATACAATTATCTTGAAATAAACTAAGATCGGTTGACAAAGTTGTGCATTAAGAATTTCTCAAAATACCTTTTATAAAATTCAGTTTTCAACTGAAAATTCCTTCAAATCATTTGCAAATACATCATTTTCCCATTGTTACTTATTACTTTGTTGATCTTTACAAGTCAACTAATCAAACTGTAGTTGATGATCTACAACCAAATCCTATAAAATAGCACAAATGTTAATTTAGCCTTTCATCTGAACTTTTTCTATTGTCTTTATTAAAACAAAGTTGATCTCTTTGTATCTAAAATACAGGTGATATATGAACAAAAAATGTCTTTTAGGCATGCTAATGTCAAGAATTATACTATCACAGAACTGATATTTTCAAATTATCAGTTTATATGAGATGAGAAATAGAAAATTACTTACATGTGGCTGTAATTCTTTACACCTGCTTGTTAGCTTGATTTATCATCTTAAATACATTATTTTTTTTTTTTTTTTTTACTACATATAGATTACAATAAAAATATCAATTTGCTTTTTTGCAGATTTTTTTCCTGTTTTGTTTCATGTTCAAATTTGACTGAAAGATTTTAATATCTGTCTATATTTCTGAGATGCGGTATTGTTTGTACTGTACCCCCCAGTGGACAAAATAAAGGGTTTGGTTCAAAATTCCAATCACTGAAGGTTTGAGAGTACAATGGCAAAAGCAATGGAAATTGAAAAAAATCTTACATTAAAAAAAAAACTAATGTCTAAAATTAGAATACTTATGGCAAAATTTCCTAATTTAGTGATTCTTGCTCAAGAGACAAATTAATTTTTAAAAGGAAAATGAAAAATGCTACAACCAGTTTTGGGTATGGAATTAGCACAATGAAATGTTTATTTTTTTAAATTATTTTACAGTGAATAAACAGATCTCAGATAAGACACACAACTTTGTTGACAGCCTTAATTCTTTCAGACATGGATTTCACTAGTTTAGAGCCATATTTTTATCAAAGTGGTTCCTGAATGGCAGTTACTGGACTTTTCTCTTTTCTTCTATTGGATCTAGATCTGAATTGTTTGCTAGCCATACCATTAATCCATTTTGCATTATCATCCTGAAAAATCACTCCAGCAACAAAATTATTCAGGATATCAGATATACATTGATTGTTAACATAATGATTAAATAACATACAGCCCCCCACCCATCATGTTAGGACTTTGGAAATCAATTGATTTTCTTGAGGCAGTCATCTTTACATATTTCATTTTCTTGTTTGTGTCTTAACGCTAGTTTACATTTGGTTTTTCTCATTCAGCCCATTTCTTAGTTGTGATAAAAGACATGTCTTGCCACCACATCGCCCTGGCCAGAAAATGGTTTTATAACGTCGCTGCTTATGCGAACCTTCACCATAACTGCCGAAATAGACTTGTAGAAAAAAAACAAAACAATGGTGATGAGGGGGTCAAAAAGTGCAGTACTCGCTGGCAGGCCAGCTGTTTTTTCTTCTTCGATCGCCTCAAGGAAATGGATTGCATGACTCTTTCTCAGCCGTTACACAGGGTAGTTGTGAAACAGACATCAATCTCAGCCAAGCCTACTTCGGTTTGTCTGTCAATTTGTACATCCAGCTCTATAGCACACAGTCCGTCGAATGACTCCTGATTCCCTTGTGCTTCTGGCACCCCGCTTTTTATGCTGCCCTAATACAGCTGAAATTTGCATGTGTGCAAATATTGTCTTTTGAACAAGATCGGCGCACATAAATTGCGTCTTCAATAGTGGCCATATTTCTTTTTGTCATTACTTTGCAGGCAAGACATGTTCACGCTAGTTTCGAATTCTGAGGTAAGTAAAGTCTTTCGTCACATTAGTTCTTTCACAAACATTATTCAGGATATCAGATATACATTGATTGTTAACATAATGATTAAATGACATACAGCCCCCCACCCATCATGTTAGGACTTTGGAAATCAATTGATTGACCCATTGTGGTACATTTTCTACCTCCACGGCATATTGCTTTGAGATTTATGTTCTGACATATTTTGTGGTTTACCAGTTATTTCATTAACCATTCCATTTCTTTGATATTTATAGCAGATTTTAGATTGAGAACTTGTGGATTGCCTTCTTGAAGTTCATGTTTTAATCTTTCAATTGACGTCTGCAAGGACTTTTTAAACTATAGCTGGGTCATTCTATCTCAAATCAACCAACAGCCACAAGTGACCCTCTGCAAAAATTTACAGGTGTTCCTTGATAAAATTTAATAAATTTTGTAATCTACATTAAATATTAATGCCAAGTTTCAAATTTATATATGCAATATTCTTGGAGCTCTGTCAAAATTTTGTTGAAAGCAAAATGCTGTGAAAAATTTAAAATTTGATCAAGGAACACCTGACTTTTCCGAGTTGGTTCACTTGTGGACACTGGTTGATTTGAAATGGAATAACCCAGTTTTTGGAATGCAAATTACATGGCTTGTGAACTAAAATTCAGTAATGTAATTGACTTCATCTTCAAATTGTCTTTACAAAATTAAATTTAAATTGTTCCATTTGAATAAATATAGTTTAGTTAATAAAAGAACAATGAGAAAGAAAACTTATTCTAGCTATTTATATAAACTGATAAAAGGTAGAATTTAGCAAATAATTTTGTCTAATTAAAAAAAAAAAAAAATCCTGTGGAATTTATTAACATGGTTGCTATAGACAGAGTATAATGCAATGTTTGTGCATATAACATCCATATTGATAAATCCCAGGTATTAATAAGAATTTGGTTGGAAGGAACTAGTTTCTAAATTTTTCTACAAACCTTTTTCCAGCAACATTTTGGGCTTTTTTTTTTTTTTTTTAAGGGAATTTTAAACAGCCAGGTTAAACTTCAAGGGCTGCTTATAATTAAGTTGTGCATCTTTGCATGGCTATTGAATTTTAAAATGGACAAGAGTGTTTTAATGTATATTGCCTTCTAGCTTAAAAAGAAAATATTGAATTGATTCTAAACAGATGATTACTTGAAAAACTGAAATTTAAAATGATCAGCTTAGAGTAATACAAATCAGTTATTAAAGTAAAAAAAAAAAAATATTGTCAATTTATTTCAGGTTCTGCGACTGATTTGCATCCAAGCCTTCTGTAATAATGGACTGAAAACCAAACTACTTGATTATTATAAACGGGAAATTCTTCAGGTAAATTTTATTATAATTCAGGCATTTTTTATTTTTAAGGGAATTCAAAAGTGCTTTAAACTTCAAGGCTTGCTTATTATTACACTGTGCTCTTATTTAGATATAACTTCCATTCAAAAATGGAATTTTGCATGTAAGAAAACATAAGGAATAATAGATTTTTTTTTTTTTCTCCCTCCCCCTCCTTTTTCAGACTTATGGATTTCAACATCTTGTTACTTTATTAAACTTGGAGAAAACAGGTCTCCTCAGGCCACAAGGGCAAAAGACTTACTTAACAATTCGAAAATCCTTAAGGTTAATAGTGGATGATATCAATGACCAAGTAAGTCAGTCTTATTTTCAGCTTGATATAGACAATTTTTTTTTTTTTTTTTTGTACAAATTAATTTTCATCACAAATTAGAATTTTTTTTTTTTTTTAATGAAAAAAAAAAAAAAAAAAAACTGAAAACAAGAAGTTGGCTGTAAATGTTAGAATTCATTTCTCAAGCTTAATTGTGCATTAAAGAATAAATTCAACCAAAGCATCCAGTGTTTATTTGATTGGGTAGTAATTAGAAAATTTTATATTTGCAACTTATGCATATTTTCAGAACCCTACAGATATCTCCCACGTATATAGTGGTTATGCTCCACTGAGTATTCGGTTAGCACAACATCTTGCTCATCCAGGATGGAGAAGCATCACAGAAGTACTTAAGCTTCTGCCAGGATCCACTGTTGAAGAAATTCAACAGATCCCAGTCGGACTCCGGAAAAGAAGTGAGTAAGAATGTGTGTGTGTGTGTGTGTGTGAGGGTATTGTTTGTTCAAAAAAAAAAAAAAAAAAAGGCAAACAACTTTCTAAAAACGCATTTCTATTTTTTTGTTTTTAAAGGAAGTTCTTTGACTTCAAATAATTCCCAAAGTGTGACATTGGTTTACTTTCTTGGGGGAATCACTTATGCCGAGATTGCAGCATTACGCTTCTTAGCACAACAAGATGATAACAGTGTGGGTAAGTTGGACTTTTGTTTATTTTAATGTTAAGCAAAGAACGTTTAATCATCTGAAAGGCAGTGCTGGTAGTAGGAAAAGAAATAAGATATACCTGCCATTTTATGTATCAAGTCAATTGCATTAAAGAATTTTTTTTTTCTTTGTAAAGAAATGAATTGGATCCTAAGTTCCCCATTTAAACCTTGTTTGTTTTGTTTTTCAGGTGGAACAGATTACATTATTGCTACAACCAAATTAATCAATGGCAAGAGTTTATTAGAATCTGTGATGGAAAAGCTTGAACCACCAAAGCTAAATCCATTTTAAATAAAATATCATGCCCACCAACTTTCCATTGCATACTGTGGGCTAAGTTTATGTTGCACAGAAATTGAGAGGGGGGGGCTAGAAGGCTGGAGGGGGGAAGAAAACAACTCAAATTGTTGCTCAATTTATTTTGTAACAAAAGTGTAAATATTTAATAAAAGTATTTATGAAATAATTTTTATTTTTTTTTCTCCCATGTACAGGCTTAATTTTATGTACATGTTAAATGGGAACAGAGTGAAGGAATGTATTAAAATATCGAGATGAGATTATTTGTAACCTATTTAGGAAGTGCTACCACCACTTCTTAAAGTTACTTTTTCTCCCTTCCTGCAGGGACAAGCAACAACCAGATGAATTTCATGTCTTTACCCTGCCCTATTTAAACAAGACCAAACAAAGAATTTTTTTTCTCTTACTATATATATATATATATATATATATATAGTGTTGTAATAGTAGTAGCAGCAGCAGCATATTTATTCAGTATTTATTTTCTGAATTAAAAAAAAAAAAAAAAAAAACTGAGAAAAAGGAAAAAGTTGTTTAATTTATAAAAAAAAAGAAAAATAAACTGCTACCAGAAAATAGAGGGAAAAAAAAAAGAAAAAAAAGTCCTTTTTGTGATTGAAGTTTTTTTTTTTTTTTTTTAATGGAATGCCACCAATGACTGTCCAGGTTTGATGGTGTCTAATTGGGCAGCGGCAGTGCAACTCCATGTGTGTCCACCAGCCTCCAGCAGATGTTGCCTCCTGCTCAGGCAAAAAGGGGTGGGGAGAGAAGTACGGAAGACAGAAGAGAAGTTGAGAGAAAGTTGTTATTTTTTATATATAAAAAAAAAATAAAAAAAAAACAAAACTGAAATCAAAATGCCACTCTGGTGACAGTGGCATATCCACTATCATCAGATCTATAGAGGATTGTAAATGCTTTTAGCAGCAGCAGTCACATAGCAACTGCTATCACCCAGCTAGCTGAACAGGTGGAGACTCTTCTCATATATCTCTTTATATCACGCAAACATTGCAGGCAGGTTGAAGTGGTGGACAGTATAGGTCCTGGAATTTCCAAAACATTTCTTCTCCCCTCAAAAGAACAACTTTGGAATTTTTTTATTTTTTTTTTTTTTTTTTTTAAATTCCTGGCAGCGTTGGCAGCATTTCTCTGGCTGTCGGTTAGTCTTTGATGGATATGAATAAAAGAATTGCACCTAGTTCTCTTCAGGTCATGGAGTAAAGTCCAAGTCCAGAGATGGCCAGTCAGTAGGTGGTCAATATATCAGGGCACTCCGTCACAACAGTACATACACCGCCACCGCCACCACACATCACCTGCACCCTCTTATGGACAGGTCAGCATGTGGTGGTGGTGGTGGCGGTGTGGTAGTGATGATTATGATGGTGGTGGTGGTAGTTGTAGAAGTGGTAGTATTGGTTGTTGCAGTAGAATTGGTGGTAGTACCTTATGGCCAAGTTTTGTTGAATGATGGTGGTGGTGCGATTCTGGGGCAGAAAAGATAAAACTTTAAAATAAGGTAAACAAAGAAAAACTTATGAAAATAATTTTTAATAAAAAAAAAAAAAAAAACCCAAAGAAACACCTTTGCATTTGTTAATAGTTGGAGACATGCAAAAGCTAAGAAAAGGAAAAAGTTTTTGTTTAATCTTTTAAGCTTAGAATTGGTCTTTCTAACAATGACTTCCTCCTCAGATGGTATAGCATAAACCTATTTAAATGGTGACAAATGATTTTCCCCAGCCAACAACTTCATTTGTTGAAGTAGCAGTAAGGACAAGAAAAAAGAAAAATTGATTACAACAAAAATCTTCAATATCAGTACAAAAACAAGGTCAAATTAAAATTTCCCTTTAATCCCATCTAATAAAAAAAAAAAAAAAAAAAAAAAAAAAATCCTTAAACCAAACCCAGTCATACTACCAAACTACCAAAATAAGAAAAAAAAAAAAAAAAAAAAAAAAAAAATGAAGTGAATTTGGTGCTCTGTTTTATGATGCCATCAAAAAGACATAAGGATATTTTAATATTCCTCATCGCAAAGCCAGAGTTCTAGTGTCTAGCAACCAAATCCAATTTGCTTTGTCCACGCAATGTTTGGATGCAGTGGAAGAAATTTCAACATTTCCAATACAAAATTTTTATTTATTTTTTTTTCCTTTATTACTTGGTCTGGAGAATAAAACTATACAAAAGAGCAGTTCCAGAAAATAGAAACAAAAGTACCTTTTTCAATCTGTAAAACATTGAAGAGTCACTTTAATCCACAAATTCTTCTTGGCTTTTTCTAACACATTTGCCTACTTTTCTTTTAAATTCATCAGGATGTTCTCGCCACATTTTCTGAAATTAAACATTTTGATAACATTCATTTTCTTGAATTCAAAACAGATTAATATTTTCTGCCTGTGTTAATTTGGGAAGAGAGAGAGAGAAAAAAAAAAAAAAAAAAAAAAAAAATCAATTTTGCTCATGCTGATTAATTGCAATGTTGATGCAGAAAAGATTCACCAGAACATTATAGGGGGATAAGAGCTAGGCATAGACATTAGCAATTATATTTAACTAAGCAGAGAGTATTACTAAATCTTCAAAAGCATTGCCCCAATTTTTTAATGCTTTTAACATGTATCAAGGTGACCATACAAAGTCTAAAAGAACAATAAAGATTCTTAAATAAGACTTCCTGAAAATGTCACCTTTTATTTGGTTCATCAATCCTATATATTTGCAGGAATCAGACAGAAAATAACCATTTAATGATTACCTGTCAGAATTTTTTTTTTTTTTTTTAAAACCTGAAATAGGAAAAATCCTTAAGTATGTATATGTATTATTTAAAATATAAATAAAAATCCTCAATATTTATGATATATATATATTCTACACCAGGTGTAAAAGCAACTTTGATCCTTTCTAACTTAGAAGTAACAAGGTACCTCACAGGTTTCACACACAATTTCATTTTCAAGTCTTTTTTTCACTACTTTTTGAACTTTCATAGGTGAAACACCTCACGTGACAAATGTTTTATGGGTAGAGTTGGATCTTTTCAAATTATCTCTTTTGTTGTGACCACCTGATCCAGTTTTCCTCTCAACTGTTTTTTTTTTAAACTTATTTACCATTCTCTTGATGGTTCTTGAATGGACTTTGAAGATGGAAGTCAGATTATGAATGTTGGTACCATTATTGAAGGCCTGAATGATCTTTTTCCTCTCACCATTGCTAAGTTGGGAAGAGAGTGGGGCTAACACAAAATGATTTTACTTGTTCTCTTTCTAGCTCAACAACTCAAAGGGTTTTTCAGTGATTCTTATAAGTGGTATCAATATGGCTAAATGTCTTATCTGAAAACCCGGAGAAAAGAAACTTAGTTTCGTGTTTTTTTTTTTTAGATATTAAACATTTTACGGTTACACCCAGTGTGTTTGTGTATATATATATATGTGTGTGTGTTAGCAGATGTCATATGCCACCCTTCAAGTTGCTTCTGTTCTGCCCCAATTACTTGAAAAAGTGTACTTATGAAAATTTTAACTATTGTTTGTGTTGAATCCAAAATTCTGACAACTATAAAGCCAGTCTTTTATTGAATAAGAGCGTGTATAATTTCAAATGATCGAGTTAAATGCAACAATCCAAGCATTAATTACTTACCCTCCATCTTTCAGCATCTTTGTAAATTAGCATGTCCCTTTGCTTTGTTTTGTGAAACAAATTCATTTTCTGTCAGATTGATGACTGAGAAACTTATAAGTTGTCCCACCCAACAAGCCCCAAAACACCTTTTAAAGATTTAACCCATAATATGTTCAAATATGGAAATACAGCCCCATATCTCTATAGTTTAAGAAAATTTCCTTACTGATGCAATACAAACAAAACATAACTCCTTAATCATTATTCTAATTCAAATTTCAAGTTTATGAACCCAAATATGGAAGACATTAATTAGCCCAGACATTAATTTTTTTATTCAAGGTTATAGGAAGAGTATAGTTAAAACTTACAGCAGCTTCCACATTAGCTGGGGACTCATCATTAGGGTCTGCTAGCATAGATATCACACTGACTAATATAGTCTCGACTGTGTGTACTGGCAACCAACGTTCTGATGCTTTCTCATAGCCAAACTTGTCCTCTCCAGGTTCATGCAAGATTGAAATGCAAACATTACCATCTTTGTCAACTGAAAAATAAATAAGTAGTAAAGAAACAAGAAATTGAAAGAGAGTGTCAGTGAAGAGAGAAAAAAAATTGGTGCTGAAAATTGAATATTACTTACTATTTGGATGCCAAATTTCTGATTTGAAAGTCATTTTTGGTGGCCTGAGAGGATATTCTTTGGGGAAGACCAAGTGAGCCTTAAATAAACCCTCCTCACTGGTGGGGAGGAAAAAAGAAAAAAAAAAAAAAAAAAAAGAAAGAAAGACAGGAAAATTGCAGTCAATGATTTTTGTAAACAAGATTTGACTAAAGAAATATTCACCTTTGCTTAAAAGAAAAAAAGGTTTTGTTTAATGTTGTAACAAATTTTCTTTGAAAGAAAAAAAGGAGAGGCTGAAATGCCTGTGATAAGGAAAGTGGAAACTAATAGTTTATGAATATGAACAGAATCCAAATAAGTATAATCCTTCATATTTATTCAATATGAAGATTTTAAACAAAGAACATTCATTACCATTATTTAAACACCCAACCCCTTCACTACAAAAGTTGATTGCGCATTTAATGCTAAGGAGTAATTACAATAACATGGCCCAGGAAAACTTATTTTAAAAATCTTGAAATTATACCAGTGATAAAAACTTGAGAACAGCAGTCACATTATAATATATTATAAAGAAGGACTGCACACTAAGTTGATATTATTTATTATAAAAAATGTTGATGTTTGCAAATGAAAATTCTGAGGAGGGTGGGGGACAATGTAAATTAATTTTCAATGCAAAATGATATTCTCAATTTTGCTAAGTTCACATCTAAAATCTAGATTAGATTTTAGAATATTTATAACTTACCTGAAACAATCCATTTTCCTTCAAACTGAATTTTTTTTTTTTTTTTCTTTTTCATGAGTTATTTTAATGACAACAAATTACCATGATTAACTTGGTAGAATCATTTTTAAGTATTTTTTAAAGTTTAGTTCTCTTTAAAAAAAAAAAAAAAAAAAAAAAAAAAAAAAAAGACAATTTCAAAGGTGGAACATTTCATTTCTTTAACTAGTTCAGACAGACATCCATACATACACACACACCGATATATATGACCCATTTATAATAATTTTTCATTTTTGCCCATTAGCTTAGTTTAAATTTAACATAGGTCATATTTGATTAATTGATCAGAGTGAAGCCTACAAACTTTATAAGCCCTTTTTCATAAAAAGGAGGTATCTTGCTTTTAAAATCTGAAAAAAATCGTTCACTCGCCAGTAATTTACAATCCCCCCTGATGAGATGCACTGGAACACGACTGCAATTGTGTAGCGATTTTTACACATTTTCTTTATAATATTGTAAAATAAACTATTTCTCTACTCTGTATTGAGCCCTCTTTTAAATTAAATATTACGAACGTTGGAATTGTACTCTATTTGTTCTAATCACACCAGGATGTTTTATGAAAAAAATCCTAAACAATACCAAACTCATCTATATAAAAAAAAAAAAAAAAAAAAATTCTTGAAATCAAAAAAAAAAAGCCAAAACCCCAACAAATAAAATAGGTTTAATACTGGCACACACACACATATATATATATATATATATATATATATATATATATATATATATATATATATATATATATAATAATCTGCAAATTAATAAATTGCAACCCAATCCCAATTGCTAATGAACTAATCCAACACTGCCTGAATGCCCCAAAATATTACCAATAAAAATAAAAAGGAACCTACTTAAAGCCAAAAACATACACCCTTGATGATCGTGGGTTGCTGTTTTTTTTTTTTAACCAGACACCTTTGACCTCATGAGAACTGTATTTGGATGTTTAAGTATTTATTTCCGTTTTGAAAAAGTTTTCCTTTTAGTTGATTTGTGGAACCTATAGGGGGGAAAGAATCTTTCTACCCCCATTATATAGAAAAGTAAAAAAGATAATGAAAATGAACCATGAACACAAGCATGGCAGTGAACAAAGTCAGTGGTGTAGCAGCAGGATAATCACCCTCCATTTGGAGTCCCCCCCCCCAATGTATAGTCAATGTGCAGAGTTTATCGAGTATGCTCATCTAGTTACTGATAGCAGGCTTTGTGTAGACCTTGATGCACAAGAGTGCATTGCAAAAATAAATGTCAGTCTTGTACTAGACAAGCTAACATGCAAAATTTATCAGTACACGAAAGGCACAGTGTTGAAAACACTGAATTCCTTGGGGGGGTTAAACCTCAATGGACAATTAAAGGCATATGTTATTTCATGGAGGCCATACTGTTGCCTCCCGCCAGAGGACTAATTTCATCCATACAGAATATTGAGGACAGCGTAGGACCAAGATGAGATTCCTAATTATATTCTTGGAGAGCATTTAGGGACACATGCAGTATAGCCAGTGAGTGGGAGGGTTAGGGTTAATAATTGACCAAGAAGACATTACCTCCAATTACAACGGCTTTGGAGATTGCCAAGAAAAATTACCCCAGTCATTGTGGCAGAGAGGAAACCAGCTTGTTGGAAGTGTGGTATGATTGGTCACCTTGCACCTTCCTGCCCAGAGAAGAAGGTCTCTGGAGTCATGCCTAAATCTGATCCCCCTTGAGCTGAAACTACTTGTTCCATGGGGCCTGTAATGGACCTACCTGTGGCTGGCACTAATGGTCAAAAAGCCCTGGCTGGGTCTCTTCCAGAGCCCACATTCCCTGCCAAAAAGAAGGTGGAAGAGAAACAGGAATGTTTGTAGTTAGAGTAAGAGGGAAGCTCCAAGCTGTGGGGATCTCAGAAAACTGTTCTTAGCCAACCATTTGCAGGCTGTCCTGCTTAGTCTGATGGGCACTGAACAGACTTACGCTGGAAAGGGTGGACTATTCAGGACAACCTTTATTTGGTACGCTTGACTGTAGAACAAGTTAACAGTGAAGCTGCACTGATCAATTTAGATCAGTCCAAGGTATTTGATAGGGCTGACCATCGATTTCTCAAGGCTGTCCTAGAGTTGGCTGCCTTCGTGTTGTACTTTCAATCCTGGATCTGTCTCTTGTATCAATCCCGAGTGCAATGATGGAAGTGAATAGCATCAGATCAAAACCTTTCATGCTATCTAGATCCATTTGCCAAAGTTGCCCACTTTCACCAATGATGTGCATATTTGCATTGGAGCAATTCTTGGGCAAGTTAAAGGCGGATCCAGTCCTACATGGAATTACCCTCCCTGGTTCAAATACCCTGGCTAGATATTCACCTATGCTAATGATGCCAGCACTTTCTTGAAAAGCAATGCTGAGATTGGCAAGGAAATCAGCAGATATGAGTAGGTGACAGGAGCCAAGATCAACCACAAGCACATGGGCTTGCAGTTGGGGACACAGAAAGGAGTGTCTCTTTTTAAACCCTTCACTTGGATGTACGGGACTCTCAAGATGGTCGGCATCTGGTTTGGCCCAGACCCCCAGTTGGAGTAGAATTGGTTGGAGGTCCAAGAAAAGACCAAGTCTGCAGGTCGTCCATAGTTTTGGAGGAGGCTTTCCTTAAAGGGGAAAGTGGAAGTTTGTGTCTCACACATCTACCCATCCTTCTTTACCAGCTCTCGGTACTTCCACTCCTGTGCACAGAGCTAATTTTATTGGTTCAAGTGTCATTTCACTTCTTGTGGATGACAAAGCTCCTACAGTGCGTTGGCTGGTCTGTTGCCTCCACCCGCCAGAGGGCAGTTTAGGAATGCCCAACATTGAGATTTGGCAACAGATGTTGCGGCTCAAGTTTCTGGATCAAATGTGTCAGTAAAATGAGCGTAATGGCCTCTTCTGAAAGGAAGATGCTATGAAAGCATTTTTGTCTTTGAGAAGTGTGCATGATGTCAAGGAAGAGGCCCACCATACTCCTTGGGCAGAGAGCCCATTCTATCAACTTGCTCTGAAAGACTTCACACGGGTTAAGGAAGGCCTCTCCGACACCCGACTTCTCCCCTAAGGCATATAGTGTTAGTGTGTGTGGTGGGGATGGTGGTTCCAATCGAGATACTATAAGGGACAGGCTGTTTCACGAAGGAGTTTAGCTCCCTGCGGCCTTCAGTGCCCAGGTGGTGATGTAGAATGCCCTCTGGGTTGGAAAAAAAAAAAAAAAAAAAAAGAAGTCCTTGGGGTACATCATCTTCCATGTTGTATAGCTGTTGTGTGAACTGATTGAAGGTCACATGGTTCATATCCTGGTCAGAAAGTTCTTTGTCCTTGAGGCCAGTTCTGTTTGTAGCAATGTTGTGCTCCAGCTGATGAGGAATGAACCCTATATGTTCTTATGTTTACTTGGCATTATGTGAGTCGTGATTTGAATGATACAACTAATTGTTTTTTTAAAGTACCAACTTAAAGTCAAAATTAGAGTGGAAAAAAGGCGACTCTTCATCAAAATTCGGCGAAAGGTGGTTTAGTGATTCACATTTGATTTGCTTGGCATCTGGAGGTGACATAAGTATAAGGATTGGTCACCTGGTTTAAATATTTTGTCAGTGTTAGGCTAGTGTAAGTTGTTTTTCTTTTGTTCAAGTTGCTGGGTTTAACTTAACTAGGGCATGGATGATCATCGAACCCCTTTATACTTTTGCTCCTCAATTTTATTTTTCTTTGGTTTATCCTCCTCCCTACACAGATCCCAATTTTGCCCATCTGGCATATTTATACCTTTTGTAAAATAGATATTAAAACATACATCCATGATGACGGTTGACAAGCAAAAGTGTGTTTGGTACCACACCAAAGACTGCAGTCATTTCCCAATCATTCAAACAGTGTTCCTATTTCCCCAAATATTAATGTATTAAATTGAACAAACATTAGTACTTAACATTCTCTTCCTTTCTTTAGAGCAATGTTTTTCAACCATTTTATCTCATGGCACACTTGAACCTAGTTAAACTTCTACAGCCACTAAAATTATGAAGATTTTAACACCCCAACACAGAATAATATAAATAATAAAAAAAATAAATTCTTTTAAAAAACAAAACTTATTCATTTTTCTGTTTATTATAAATTAACATTCAATGAGATATTTGACCTTGCTGTTTATTTTTTTTTTTTTTTTAGCATATCTTTGCAAGGTCAAATTTTGGACAGGGTTCTAGCAGAGATTGATTTTTGTTTTTAACATTGTTTATTGCAGATAAGTTTGCTTTTTATATTTGATATATATTATGTATATGTTTATTATAATTGATTTTTATAGGTACACATTGTGCTTTGTACTTTTGAAAATAATTTAACTAGTAACTACCTTTAAAAATTTTCATCGCACACCAGTTGAGTAAAAAAAAGAAAAGGGGGGGATCACTGCTTTAGAGAAAGGTGAGTTTAATAAAAGTGTTAACCAGAATAATTAAACAACCCTCCTATTTCCACTTTCCTATAAACATTCAGTTACAGAGAAGATGATCCAAATTTTCAATGTTCTTTTGTTAACAAAAATAGGCTGCTTCCTCTCAAAGTAATGTTTATCCAAAGTGAAAACTTTGCAAGCTGTATTTGAACCCCCATTCAAATGGAGAGCAGTGAATCTGCTTTTAGAATTCATCTTTATTATTATTTACCTTTATTCAAAGAATTCTTGCTTTTGTAAATACATTTTTAACAGCATTTAGTTAACTCAAACAAAAAGCTTAGAGAAAAGAATGAAACAATTAAAATTCTTAAGAGATTATATAAAAAACAACATATATATACTCACAACAAGGTGTCCGGAGGACCAATAATGACCACTTCCCAGCGGTAAATGTCATCATCTATTAAACCAGCAGAAAAACCTTCGACTGGATTTTTCATCAACTCTTGAGAGGAAAAAAATAAAAAATAAAATAAATAAATGCCTAACTCTTTAATCATTAAATAAAGAGAATAAAAATGAATAAACTTTCTCATAAGTACCACATAACAGGTAAAGATGTCAACATTTGCAAGTAGCAAACAATTATAAATTTGTTTGTCAAAGACAGACAGAAGAATGCCAGATGTCATCTCAAAGTGTCAAAGAAACGAGAGACAGAGAGAAATCAATGTATAGCAGTATTTGAAATATTTAAGAGCCAACTATATTTAGATAAAGTGTTGAAAAATTGTTCTCTCCACTTCCCAAAATCTGACCAAACATCAGAATCTGTGCCAAGAACTTTTCAGCATCTTTTTGTAGTAAATGACTGAAAATTACAAATACATTCACAAGGGAATTTGTTGCTGTAGCATTATTTCAAACTGTATTTACATGCAGAAATACGAGGTTTTCATAAGGCGTATAAAATAAGGATTCCAGAAAAAGGTAGCAAAATAAGAAATTTACCGAAGGCCTTCAGTAAAGTGTTTGACAAAGGAAACTGATGAAGGTATGAAGTACAGTGGCTCTTGGAGAAAACTGCCATAAATCAAGAGACAAATCTTATAATACAGAAGTTTCTAGAATTAATTGGTTTAAGTTGAAAGACGAGTATTGAAGACTTATTTGTAAGGTCACTTTTACAACTGGTGACTGAATGAAACATGTTCAAGATAAGGCACTTTGTCAATATTAATGCAAAATGGCAAATATCAGTAATAACATTTTGACCAATGATTAGCTAAACAACTTAATACAAGGAAAGTAAAAAAAAAGAATTATACATAAAGTTAGCCATAAAGGGAAAGAAAGAAGAAAAAAAAAAAACACCCTTAAGATCTCAAATTTTTTAATTTTACCTCATGAAGGGGACATGTTCAGATTCTTAAGTGTCCTAAACTTCATAACAACCTTGCAGGTAAAAAGTAATCAATTTATTAAAAATGCTTTCAAGCAACAAAGACATTAAAGAGTGAATTTTACCTTTAAAATTAAATATATGGGGGGGAAAAAAAAAAAAAAAAAAACTCATAAGTTGAGCAATGATAATTTGTGTGTGTGTGAGAGTGAGAGAGAGACTAAAATGGCCACAAAGTTGAATAAAAACATTACATATCGAAAACAAGCCATAGCTACAAAATGCTTGATAGTGTTCCAGAGTTATGGCCATCATCTTATTGGTGACCAACACTAAAACCAAATAATCACCAGATTGTTATGTAGTTAAGAGATTAAGGAGGAGGTGTCCCTCCACACTTCATCTTGTTCAATAACAACCAAATACCCTTTTTAAAAACAAGCTCACCTATATGTAAATAATTTAAGTAACTCAAATGTGAAATGCTTTTCAGCCAAAGAGATTGGTATTGCCACAAGTGCATCAGTGCTAACATTAAATTATCAACTACTTGACATGATTAAGCAATTATTTTCAGCCTTAGCCCTTCAGTGATCCAAACCAATAAAAAACTCGGGTTTTCTATTTCTAAAAACATCCTGCAAAATTCCTCTACCATTAACTTTGCCTCATACACTGAAGTTGGTATAGAAAGAACCAAGACAAAGAAAAAAAAAAAAAAAAGAACCTGAGCATTTTTCAGAATTGTTCAGATATACAGCTTTGAAGAAGAAAAAAATTAAAAAGAAAAAGATTAGAAAAATGTATAAAATATTTACAAAATGTGCTGAAACACCAGTTGCTGCTTGATCACTGAAGTAAAGTAATGTTCTGCTTGAATTCCTGGTGCTGTAAAAAAAGGAAGAGAACCAACTTCAAGCCAGGCAAAAGACATTGGCAAATCTCTGTAGAAAAATTGCCATTTAGTCATGGTGAAGCATGGCTTTAGAGAAAAGTCGTAAATGACCACAATAAAAATGCGGACAAATAACCACTTTATTATAGGTGAAAACACAGATGTAACTTATATAAAAGTGACAAATGGTTTTTTTTGGCTTTTTTGGAAGTTGAACATTTAGAATACAGCAAAATTAGCAGACATTAAAATTTCACCTGGAAGTGTATTTCAAAACAGATTTGATATCCAATATGGAAAGAGGAGAAGGAGGAGTGAATACAATCCAGTAAAGAAAATTTGACTGGCTATCATCCTACAGAATCTGTTGTTGGAGTGGATCTAATTGCAGGAAGTGGGGGTAGATAAGGATATACATACTTAGACAACAAGACATAGCTTACAAGCAATGTCTAGCAAGGTTTTTCACAGTAGGTGGCAAAAAAGTTTATTTTACAAGATTTGATTTCTCAGGTTAAAGAAAAAAAAAGAAAATGATCACATTTATATAGAGTTTTTAATCTCAATATAATACAAGATGGCAACAAGAGATCAGTATATATGTGGTTTATAGTAAAATAGTATCAGATTAACAGCTCATAAGCATAAACTTTTAGAATAAATGGAGACCAATAAAAAGTATCCTACAGAAACCTTGTACCAAAAAGAAAAAAAAAAAAGAAAAAGAAAAATGATCAAAGTGCAAAATTCTGATGTACTATTTCATGAAAAAAAAAAAAAAAAAAAAAAAAGAAACAAACAGTCATTGTTAAAAGGAAAAAATCCTTCTTGAGACAACTGATTTGATAAAGGCATGTCCTATAATTAAACAAAGACAGTTGAATAAAATAGAAATTACTTTATGAATACACAAGAATCATTCTTTTTATTGTAACACCTCTACCATGATTTCCAAACTAACTTGAAGCAAACACTTTGCAGAATTTTTTTCCAAAAATGAAATTTTTTTTTACCTAAATATGTAGCAAACTCAAATTGTAGAAAAATTACCTTGCATTATTAAATGACAATGATGCAATTTCCATGCTAAAAGCGATGAACCATTTTAGAACAAGTGTTGCAAATAAAAAAGTCAGCTGAGAGTTTACAACAGTTCCTTGCAAAAGGATGTCACATCTTTTAAATATTAGATGTAAGTACATCAAAATTATAAAAATGCCTATTGTTGATAATCACTAGCCAAAATCCCTACCAAATTAATCACATTTACAAACAAGAGGTTAAAAAAAAGTAATGAAATGATAAAAAATTTCTAAACAATTGTTATAAGATCTTTGAGGAAAAAGGCAAAATAAGTGAAGGGAGAAGAAAATCAATAGATCATAAAAACCTCTAGAAAACAGCTTTTAAAAGAGGAATTTAAGAAAATGATGTTAATATGGATCAAGGAGCAGGGGGAATGGATTTAAAGGGTTGGACAGATTTTAATTTTGCTAACAAAATATTTGAACTTGCTGTATGCGTTATTTAGAAAAGAAATGAAAAAAAAATTGGGATAATAATAATTGTAACACAAAAAAAAAAAAAAAAAAAAAGAGAGGAATTAGTGTTTCTATTCATGTCTGCACTGAAATTTTACTAGAAACTTCACAGCATAGAAGTAAATTCAATTCTTTTCTTTCCAATAACCAATAAACATGACATTTTTACTGTGGCATTGTCATTTGATTATTATTCAAAAACCAGATATTGGAAAAAGAAAGATAAGGGAAGGGGTGAACTGAAAGCAGGTTTGGTGAATGGATTCATTCTGGATATTTATTTCCCTTTCTAAAATGTTCTGTCCTTTACAGATTTTGACAGAATTGTAATTTCAAAAAGAAAAAATTTTTTATTTTGTTTTCTGGTCATTATTTGAATAGACTATAAGTGAGAAGAAATTCTTTTTAGGCCTTAGAAGAAAATGCAAAAACTATAGCAGGAGTCATTTTTGATTACACACAAAAAAGTGGGGTAACTATTTTATAAAATTAATCAGTTTCATTTGTAATAATGATTAAGATCCAATATTTAATTATTACTAAATTTCCTATATAGGTACCTTCATGAGATCGCTAAAAACAGAGCATAGCAGGCTGAAGAAAAAAAAAAAAAAAAAAAAAAATTGATGAAAAAATTTTATCATCTAAATGATTATGTTATTATTAAGAGAAAAGATCAAAGTATTTTGGGGGTATTTTTTTTACATTTTTTTTTAATCATTCCTAGCACGTCCGAAATTTTTTATGAAATTTTATCAGAGGTGTACATAAAACGCTATAATTTTATGTACATTTATTACATTTGACTGTGTTATTTGTATTTCCATTCATTTTATTATTAATTTTGATATTTCGTTTATGGAAAAATGTCATAACTGAGATTAATATAAAAATAAGATCATATAAATTTCATATGATGATACTGATACTTGTAGGTACTCTTCTCAAGTGAGCTGCTGCTGGATTTTCATACGTCAAAAGATGACAGGAGTCTCCCTCTCATATACACACACACATACAATACTTTTTGTCTTGATGCATCAGGCTTTAATTAACTTACATGCAAATACCCACATTGTAAGACTTATCAGTAAACCATTATTATCTAAATTTAATTCATTTTTATGGAACAATTCTGCTAATTATATTCTAACTTGGGTAATTATATTTACTTAGGAAAAAAAAAAAAAAAAAAAAAAACCTTAGTTTAACTTACATTGTTTACATTATTCAAACTTATCTCCATTGATATATTCACATTTTGGCCATTGTATGCTCCGACCTTCTTCAGGTGATTGGAATTTCAAACCATTGTGAATATGGCAATGAAGATGAGGATAAGTCCGAATAATGTAAATAATGTAAGTAATCATAATACCTCATCTCAGAGATATAGACAGATGACCTAGTCTCATTTGAACAATAGCTCTAAAATGCCAAATATCAAATTCAACTGCCAATATGTTATTTTGATGCCACTATATAGCTTGCAATATGTCTCTTGATACAGAATGACTGTCCCCTCCACCCAAAAAATAAAAATGGATCACGATATAACTTTATAAAATTTTCATATGGCATTGAGCATTTTTTTCTGTGTCTTGTGGCATACTCTTATGAGTTTATTATTTTATTTAAAGTGTGTGTTCACATTTAAATATCAAGTA